AGAAACGATTTTGAGGCAACTCCACCGTCAACGAAAGCTCATCCTGTGTCCTTCTTCATGTTGCGAGCACAGGCCAGCCCTGGCCTAACCGCGAAGCTGCGAGCTCCTTATCACCACGAGGAGGGTAATCACCCTTTTGGAAATAAACAGGCTTTTGTCTTGGGGCCTGGGTCATGTGCTGGCCTGGAGGTTTTATGAGGTAAAAAAAAAAAAAACGGGGGGTTCTCTAACCTGTCAGCTACAGGCCTCATGCTGACCATGGGTCCCTTGACCTCTCCAGAGCCTGTCTTCCCACCTGTAAAATGGGGCGATAGCATCTGACTCACAGAACTGTGCCGAGAATCAAGTGAGGGCAGACATTTCCCAAACTGTAGAGTCTTCTAGAAGGCCAGCACTCTGCCTTTAAGCACCACCAGGGGAACAGGTGTGACCCGGTCTCATCCAGGAGGAAGGGCCCCGGCCAGCCAGGCGGTTCCTAGGGAGACAGCTTTATAGCAATTTCAGGGGAGGCTCTGAGCTCCGGATGTCTGCTAGGTGCTGCCCCAGACTCGCTGCCGGTGGCTTAACCATAGTTTAGAGGAGAGCAGCAAGAGCCAAGCTGGGGGTGTGTGTGGGGTGTGGGCAGAGGTGAGCTGGGCTTGGGGCCCTGCCCTGAACTGGCCAGGCCGGTAGAGAAGGGGAGTCATTATCCCTGATACCCCCGGGCGAGCGGAGGGGCGTCCTGACCAAGCTGTCGGGTTTGCCTGGTCCCCAAGGCTGCTGATCAGGTGGCTCTGCCCCTGCTCCAAAGAGAGCAGATCCTGAAGGTAGATTCCACCAGGACCCGGGGCAGCCACTGGGGGCGGCCAGTTCAGGCAGGTGCCTTCCTCTGGGCTCCAAGAACTTTCTAAGTTGATCGGCACGCCCTTCTGAGGGCTCCGGGGCCAACCTGGCTTCACTAGCAGCAGATCAGCCCCATCACCGCTCACGGTGAAGCTACTGGGCCGAAATCTGGTTTGCTTGTGTCCACAGCCACCCCCTCAGTAGAACGTGTTTGGAACCGGCGGCTGAAGAGTCCCCCACCCAGTGCCAGTATGATAGCAGCAGATAGGATTCAGTAGGCAGAGGGGGAATGATTAGGGCCTGAGGTCCCTGGTTGGGGGGGGCGGGGACACCTATTTGCGAACAAGGCTGGGAGTGCCTGACCACCGCAAGCCCCCTTGGGCATAAGGTTCCTCCTAAGAATGTAACAGAGCCACCTACTCCCCTTCAGGTTTCCCTCAGGAATTTGATAATAGACCTAAGTACCGCCATAGAGCACCCTTTGTACAATGGAAACGAGCCAATCAGGAATGGACCACCCAGCACCTAGTACCCAGCACCTAGCACCCAGCACCTAGCACTATCAAGCCCATAAGGGTAGAACCCGAGAAGGAACGAGGAGGAAGGGAAGGGAGGGAGTGACCAGAACCTTGTTTTACAAGGACCCTCGCCTATAGTCCGCGGGCATTCACTTTCGAATGTCCCTTCCCTGTAAAGAATTTTTCTGCTATTTCTCCCTTTCTAATCTTAGATCTCAATGAACCCTGGCCTGCTGCTCGATTTGTGTCCACCTCTTCATGCTTTGAAGCGGCAAGACAATGAATCCTGGGTGTTGTGGTAAAAAATCCTGCAACAGCAGTAACCCCCAAAGTGACGCAGCCAGCCCGCTCTGATAGCGGTCAGCCAGGCACACAGGCGCCCACAGACCACAGCCAAGTTCAGAGGTGAGAGAGAGCCCCACGTCTACTCCGCTCCTCGGGTTTGAGACATCACAGGGTGATCACATCAGACCTCACTTCCTTCTCCTTGCCTTGAAACTGTGGTTTTAATTTTTTTTAATGTTTTATTTATTTTTGAGAGCGAGAGACAGAGAGACAGAGAGAGAGAGCATGAGTGGGGCAGAGGCAGAGAGAGAGGGAGACCGAATCCTTAGCAGCCTCCAGGCTCTGAGCTGTCAGCACCTTTCCACCTGTAATGTCGTTATTTATAAGAAATTCATATTTGGCGCTTCGGATGACCAAAATAGGTTTCTCCTATGTATTTGGTCTTTGTCCACAGTTTCTAGCTCACAGCGACCTAAAGCCTTGGAATTTTGAAAGGGTTCAGGGCGACAAAAAGTGTCTTTTGTTATGTTAATGGAGCGACAGGGCAGGGAGGGAGGCCTTCGGGGAGACCTAGAAGCCCCGCCCCCTTTCTGGGTGCCTCGCCCTCAGAATCTCTTCATCTGGCTGTTGATTCTTATCCTTTAATAGCCTGGTAAAGCACTTCCCTGAGTGCTGTGAGGCCCTCTGGCAAATTAATAGAACGTAAGGCAGGGCGGGGAGGGGGGGAGCGCGGGGGGCCTGTCTTTGGAAACTCCAAACTGTAGTCAATTGGTGAGAAGCACAGGTGACAGCCTGGGGCTCACGAGTGGCCTCTGATTGGGGGCCAGGGAGGGCAGTCTTAGAGGACTGTGGAATCCAGCACCAGACCATGTCGGGATTTGAACTGAAATCTCAGACACCAGTTGGGTGTCTGAGAACCGCTTGGTGTTTTGGGGGTAGCGGGAAGGGGACCCGCGTCTCATGCTAGAATTGGGTCAGGGAACCTTAGAAGATCACCCCTCTGTCTGACCCTGACCACCCATACAGGCCTAATGATCAGTCAGGAATTTGCAGGGCCTGGAGCAAACTAAAGCCTCGCCCGGTGCAGGTCACGGAGCCGGGGACCAGCTGAGCACGGGGCCCACATGCTTGTGTTCGCAGTGTCTACACCCAGCACAACCTCAAAGCAGCCAGCTCTCCCAATGCTGTGTGAGTGACGTTGGGACACAAGAACTCTTGTCTTTCCCCTTTGGGGCACCTGGGGGGCTCAGTCAGTTAAGCATCTGACTTTGGCTCAGGCCATGCTCTCAAAGTTCGTGAGTTCGAATCCTGCATGAGGCTCCGTGCTGACAGCTCAGAGCCTGGAATCTGCTTTAAATTCTGTGTGTGTGCCCCTCCCCTGCTCGCTCTCTGTCTCTTTTTCTCTCAGAAGTAAATAAATATTAAAAAAAAAAAAAAAAAAGAATTCCTGTCCCTCCAGGGTTGTTCCAGTCGGAGTAAGAACTGAATTGACATGAGGCAGAGGAACAGGAGAAAATCAAATTCGATGGCGTGCGTACCGGGAATCCACACAGACAGAGATTCCAAAGACAATCAGGCCACGTGAGGCACACGTGACATCCCGAACTAGGGGACGGGGCAGGTCCCGGGCCTTGGGAGGCAAGGAGCGTCCTTCACGGGAGAGAAGGGGCGCAGGAATCTGGGAACCAGACGTCCGTCCAGCCGCACAGATGGAGGCTCTGATGAAACCTATCTCTGCAAATTACCCTCCTTCGGGGAAAGACCCCCGTTTAGATTCTTTGATGGAGTTAAGGGAGGGGCAGAAGTTTCTCTTGAGCCCCCAGGGTCTCTGTTGCCTTCAGCTGAGAATCGTCTTCGTGCCGAACGGCCGTCCAGGTCAGGCCCTGCAGTGGAAAAGCTTGCAGGTCAGCGCATTTTCACCCAGCGTTAGGGATGGGGCCCAGGCCTCAGAGCCCAGCCATCAGAGGGGAGCGCGGAGCGGGCCTCCCCAGCCTGGAGGGGTCTCTTGTAAAGCACATGGCTGGCCTTGGCGGTCTGGACCGCCACAGTCCGTAGGGACACAGGGTCTCCACAATACTTGTCACCCAACATGTTGTGAGCACTCCGGCTGCCCCGAAGCAACGATGAACTTGTAGCTTTCTCTTTAGAGGGTGCCAGAAGTCCACCTTTTGGGAATACCGCGCCCGGGGGACACGAGAGGGACAGCCACTGGCTTTCTTCCCCTTGTGGGTGACCTGATTCACCTTAGTCGACGTGATGTGAAAGGCGAAGTCTGTCCCACACATTCCACACCCAGAGTGGAGCAAAGGGCTGTGAGGCCGGGCCGCAGGACTCCTGCTGCGGCAAACCAGCATCTGGAGGCCGGGCTTCAGCTGCCTCCCTCCCCCCAGCGCAGTCTTGAGTGGGTTCTCAAAGAATCGGGGGGCAGCCCCACCCCACCCTCACCCCGCCCCCACCCCACCTCCCAAACATGAACTGACAGTTACCAGGAGCCGACTCTGCAAGATAAAGGGCACATCAGCGGTCAGAGGTCAGGTCTGCATGTGCCCCGGCAAATGGCTTTTCAGGAGCAGGGACTAAACTTCTGGACACTAAAGCGGGCCGGACTCGCCTCTGTGGCCCACTGCGCTCTGACAGGCACTGCCAGCCGGCTTCCCGCTCTGCCGGCGTTCGGGACCCCTCAGCGCTCCCGAGGGTGGTCTAGGAAATTGCAGGAAGCCCACGAGGCAGGCCTGAGGCCCGCCTGGCGCCGGCAGAGGGAGGGGCCGCGGGAAGGCACGGATGCCCCTTCGATCCCTGCAAGAGCAGCGCCAGCTTGTCTGGGACCCGGCGGCCTGGGAGGACCCTGGCATGTGGCGCCTGGAGGCCACACGAGTGGTCTGCCCAAGTGACTGCCACCCACGAGAAGCAGGAGGGAGGGAGACACTTAAGTCATAAAACCAGGGCCCCGGGACCCACTTCTGCTTTCCGTTCCCCTTTGGCCCATGACGTGTTTTGTTAGCAGGAAAGCTTCTCAAGCATCCATGGCAGGTGGAACGTAGAGGCAAGGATTTCTGTGCCCGTGAGATTCCCCCGGAGGGGCATCTTCTGGACGGATGCTACCTGCTTCCTTCTCTGTGTAGGGTGAGCGCCTCCCCGGGAAGACAGCCCGGGACCTTTGGGCAACGGGGCCGGCGAGAGCCAGGCGGGGGGCGCAGAGCTGGGGCGCGCGCGGGCCCTGGGGCGGGACGCGCGGAGGCCGGGCCGCTGCACCTGCCGGGCGGCGGGCCGGGCGGCCGGGCGGCGGGCGGGGTCGCGGCGGGCGGCGGGCCCCGCCCCGGGGGTGTGTCCCCGGGCGCGGCCGGCTTAAGGCCCCGGGCGGGGCGGGGCGGGGAGGGCTGGGGAGGCCGGCGGGCCGGGAGCCATGGCGCCGTCCGGGCCGCTGCTGCTGCTGCTTGCGCTGCTGGCGGGCGCGCGGGCCGGGCCCTACTTCCGCGCGGGCCACAGCTGCCACAAGCCCCTGCGGGGGGACCAGCTGGCCAAGCTGGGGCGCAGGTGGGCCGCGTGCGGGGCTGGTCCCCCACCCCGGGCTCCCTGGGGACCCAGGAACCTGGCGTCCTGCCTCCCTTGACCTTTGAGGGTCAAATCCAGCTCCTGTGTTTTGGGGGGCTCGCTCTTTTTCTCTACCTTTGGAGGGTGGGACAAGCCTCACTTGGAGGGCTGGGAGGGGCTTGCGGGGGGTGGGGGGAGCCGTGTGGTTCCTGCATGTGGGGGTGCGCTGCCTCGCATCCTGGGGGCTGGGGTGCCCCCTGGGAGAGGGGCTCCCCGGGGGATTCAGTCCCTCACTCGCCGTGGCCTGTCATTCTGGGGGAGAAGAGCAGATGCTGATTCTGCCCGTTCGGGTCTCTTCCCAGGACATACCCTCGGCCTCATGAGTACCTGTCCCCGTCGGACCTGCCCAAGAGCTGGGACTGGCGAAATGTGAATGGGGTCAACTACGCCAGTGTCACCAGGAACCAGCACATCCCCCAGTACTGCGGCTCCTGCTGGGCCCACGGCAGCACCAGCGCCATGGCGGGTAGGTGGGCTTCCGCAGCCCCTCCGGACCGTGGGCCGCGAAGCCCTGGGCGGCTCGGGTGGCCTCAGCGGCCCGCGGTTCTGCGCCAGGACTCAGCGTGGGGTGGGAGGTGGCCAGGCCTCTCCGGCCTAGGGGAGCCCACCTGTGACCTCGCCGTTCCTCCCCGTGGAGGGAAGGCCAAAGCGCTAGAGGCTGGATTGTGTGTCCGTCCCTGCCCGGTGGGGCTTCCGGGGCCTGCGGGCAGGGGACAGGCCGCCCCGGACATGCGGCTCCCAGGGGCCGTTTCTCTACCAAAGCTTTGTGACCCTGGTCCTTTGGGATCAAACCAGAGATCGGACTCACCCAACCCCCTGCCAGATTTTGAGGACAAGGAAGTGAAACTGTCTCGTAGCAGCAGTTAATATTTGAGCTGACGCCCGCCCTGGGCTTGGAATATTGAACGAGGCTGGCGGGTTTTCTCATCTGGCCCCTGGCCCCTGGCCACAGTGAGAGGGCGAAGGAGGGGAGGCTGAGGCCCTTACCACCCACAGCGGCCTCTGGGCCTTGCCTTGGGAGAGCAGGGACGATAGACCTCACCTGGTCTTGGGCCTCTGATCAGCCCCCTTGGGAGGTGGGGGAGGGGCTCTGCTGACCCCAGTGGCTGCCCCGGGGGGCGGGGGGCGGGGGGCAGGAGCCTCCAGTGACTCGGGAATTCCATTGCAGAAGGGACTCTGACTGGGAGGGAAGGGGAGCCCTGGCTCGTCCCTGATGGGTAGCTCGCTGCGCAGGCCCGGTGTACTCGTGGCCGTGTGTTAACCAGACTAAGGACAGGGTGGCTACTGCCGCTTCTGAGGTTTGGTGGCTCCGTTTAAGCCTCTGAGCTGCCCTGGGGCTGGCCCCATTTTGCAGATGAGGAAGCTGAGGTCCCTGGCAAGGAGGTCAGAAGATGGGGCTGTGGTGTGAGTGGCAGCTGGGAGTAGCACCCAGGAGCCTGGACTTCGGGCCTCTGTTGAGGAATTGGGGGGGGGAGGGGGATCTGGGGCATGTTTCTGGCCCTGTCGGAAGGAGGAGGAAGGGGGCAGATAGGCCGCGGCCTCCGTTGTAAGGTGGGAGGCTTGTGCGGGCCCCTGATTGGGATGGAGGGGTGGAGCGGGACGGGGCCCTAGAGGATGTGGAGACGGGGGGCTTAACCCCGGGAGCCCCTGCAGGGCGTTGGGCAGGGTGTGGGCAGGCCCGGGCGGGGGGTCAGGGCACGGGGTGGGGCAGGCGTGGGGCTCACAGTGCCGAACTGAAGGAGAGCCCCTGTGGTGGCCCTCGGGTGGGGGGTGGACAGAAGAGCCGGAAGGGTCACCAGGGCGGGCCCTCGACGTGGTTCCGTTTTCCGAGGGTCAGCCCTGCCACACCCCTGGAGTGGGCTCTCCTGGGGAACTTTCTCCTCCGACGACGCTCTTCCTCAGCTGCGGGAGCCCTTCTTCCTCTTTCACTGAGAAAATAGAAGCCCTCAAAAGGGGACTTCCAGGGGCGCCGGCCCAGCTGGCTGCTGCCTAACGCAGCCGCTCGTGGCCTGCGTCTCCTCCCGACCCCGGGCCCTGTGCGGCCATCGCCACGAACAAGTGAGCAGGAGGCCCGGGCCCGTGTCTCCCCCAGCCCCTGACGCACTGCGGGCCCCTCCTCCACCCGCCAGCGCTGTCCGGCCTTGCTGCACCTCCCACTCGGCGCGAGGGGCCACCTTGCCGGCAGGTGCGGCCGCCCAACCTCACCCTCCGTGGCTGCGCTTGACCACCTGACCTTGGAACGCTCTCCTTGGCCTTTCACCACACACGATGGTCTCCTCCCACTTCCTGGCTGGGCCGCCGGATCCTCTACGCGCTCCGCTCCTGAGCACGGGGGTCCCCGGCCGGGACTCGGCCTCCGCTCGCGAGCCTCTGTTACACCAGCTCTCCGCTGTCCTCCCTCTGCCCGGACCCCTCGCCCCTCAAACCTCAGCCTCCCCACCCCGCCTGGCTGAGTCAGGGCCTCGCGCTTCCCGCCACGCACACGGAGGCCTAGCGCTGCCCCGCATACAACCCTGGGACAGACAGATCTTGTCCGTTTTACCTTCAGAGCGTGTTCTGAACCCCCTGCTCTTGGCACCCCTCTCACGGTACCCCGCTCTGAACCCCTGGCGCTTGCACCGCCTCGTCTCTGCTCCCCCGCCCCGCTGCCGAGCCCCAGGTCGGACTGTACTTCTGTCCCTCCGGAAACCCTCTGTGAGTCCTTGCCGATCGGCGCAGAACGCTTACCTGACCCACAAGAGCCTCCGTCAGTGGGCTCCCCGCCCCGTGTGGCGACCCTGCGGGTCGAGGCTTTGACTGTTCTGTCCGGTGCTGGACGCCCAGTGTGGAGAACAGCCTGGCGCACAGCAGGTGTGGGCAGGTGCCTGTGGGGGATCGAGGAAGACGGGGCGGGTGGGGAAGGGGACTTCCCGTTGCATTTGGGCCGTGCGAGGAGCGCACTAGACCACCCGTGGCCGGGCCAGGTAGGGATGGGATGCCTGACTGAGGTGTGGGGAGGCCAGACTGGGCCCTGGCTGCCCTGCCTTGCAGGGGTGAGTGGCCCCCCGCCCCCCGCCCTGAGGCCCAAGGCAGCTGAGTAGAGATGAGTTCACAGAGAGCTGTGTGGAATTGCGTGCGGGGCTCAGGGGCCCTTTGCCGAGGTCTCAGGAAAGGCAGGTCGGGGCACCTGGGTGGCTCAGTCGGTTGAGCCTCTGAGTCAGTTAATGATCTCATAGTTCATGGGATCCAGCCCCGCATCAGGCTCTGCGCTGACTGCATGGAGCCTGCGTGGGATTCTGCGTCTCCTCTGCTCCGTCTCTCAAAACAAACAGGGAGGAAGGGAGGGAACGGAAAGGAAGAAAGAGAAGGAAGGAAGGTCCACATGCGTGTGCAGGTACTGATGGGGGAGAGAGGACTGGGGTCCACGCAGGCCTTAGGCCGGCGTGCAGGGACGTGCCACCTAGTGCCACGGGAGGTGGGCTGGGGATGTGGAAGCCCGTACGCCAGGTGGCAGATTGATGAGGGGCCCACCTTGGAGTTTTCCAGTGAAATCTGGAGAGCTTTCAGGTGGAGTGAGGGGTAGGCGGGGTTGGGGCTGAGCACGCGGGAAAAGCCTGAGAACTGGGCCACCCTGACCACGGCGTGGGAGGAAACCGAGACCAGTGGAGGCCAAATGGTTTGGAAATGGCAGTGGGCCGAGGGGGGCCCTCACCCCGCCCGCAGGCCCTACACGGTGGGGGGTGAGGATGGAGAACCTCCATCGGGAGCTGCCAGGGGCGTGACCTCCTGGGCTTAGCAGCCAGGGCCAGGCTTCGGTCAGTAAAGGAAAACTGGTCCACTCGTTTATGCAACTGATATTTCCTGAGTCCGCACATGTGTCAGACAGTGTGCTTGGGCCCCGGAGCTGAGCTGTGCGCACAGCCCTGCGGGACGCGGGCCCCGGGAAGGATGTGCAGCCATCAGCAGGTGACGTGGTGTCAGCTGCTTGCAGCCATCGCAGCTGGGGAGGACGGAGGCTGCACAGGGGTGTCGCAGGGAGAGCGCTCTGGGCCCAGGAGTGGCCACGGGCACGGAGGAAGGGGCAGCAGGCGCAGATTGGCACTTTTCCTCCCACCAGCCCTTCAACGGGCACTTGCGAAGGCAGCTGGGCAGACGTACCTGGCCCTGCCCGCGAGGTACTGGGTGGCCGGTGGTGGGGACAGAGCACTCTATGCCCGGAAGGACTGGGGGACCCTGGGGAGGCGGGGTGGGGGGGGCCTGGAGAGCCGAGACTCGGCGGGCGGGCGCTGACCAGGTGTGGGTGCTGCCTTACAGACAGGATCAACATCAAGAGGAAGGGGGCGTGGCCCTCCACCCTGCTGTCCGTGCAGCACGTCATCGACTGTGGCAATGCGGGCTCCTGCGAGGGGGGCAACGACCTGCCGGTGTGGGGGTACGCCCACGAGCACGGCATCCCCGACGAGACCTGCAACAACTACCAGGCTAAGGACCAGGGTAGGTGCCCGCCCGCCCCCATTGTCGCCCCCCCCCCAGGAGAGAGCGGCTGGGGCACCGGGGGAGGGCGGGACAGAGAAGGGAGCCCCCTGCCACCTTGGACCCAGTGGGGCCAGGGGAGCCCATGGTTCTTGCCGAGAAGACCACCAGAGCAAAGGCCTGGGGTGCGCATCTCCAGCCTTGTGCCCCTGTGCCCAGGACTGGCCATGGTGCTTGGGCTCTGCCTTGTTGGCATTTTGGGGGTTTCCTGGGCCTCTGTGAGGTGAGCCCTGCAGAGGGAAGGGACGATTTTCCAGGAGTGGGTGGGGAGAGCAGGTTGTGGCCCCAAACTGGGGGCGCAAGGGCCCGGCAGGGACACAGCATCGGCTTATTCCCTGGCCTGGGCCAGGTGCACGTGGCGGGAGGCGGGGCCGAGGGGTCCTGCCCGGACCAGCAGAGCCAGCTTGCCGGGAGTCTCGGGAGCTGGCACAGCCCGCGGCTGCTCCCCTTGGAGGCCAGAGGAAAGAAGGTCCAAACCCATAATTGGCGGTTAAGTCACCTGTCGCCACCCGAGCTCCCTCTTGGCCAGGGCGGAGCACGGGGATGAACCCAGTGGCCCATTGGAGACGGCAGCGTGGGAGGAAGGGGAGCCCGGGGTGCTTCTCCGGCCCTGCCCTCTCTCTCTATAATGAGCTCCAGCGGCCCCTGTGCCCTCAGCGCCCAAGCATGCTCTGGGTGCCACCCCACGCCCCCGGAGTGCCCTCAGCTCGCCTCTCGAGCCATGGGCCCAGCCAGAACAAACACCCCCAGACTGGTTGGGTGAGTCCTGTTGAAGTGCTAAATACAACAGGGGTCAGAGAACCAAGGAGAGAGCAGGTGAAGGGGAGAAGGCTCAGGGGTCCTGGGGCGCCGCCCCCCTCCCCAGTGGTCTTGTCCAGCCTAGGTCGGGTCCCTGTACCCCAGCAGTGCGACGTGGCCAGGAACAGCTGAGCGAGACCCTAGTGTCTGCAGTTCATGGTCCCGTCCGTATTAGCAAACGTGGCCCCAGGCCCCCCCTGTGCCCGTGGTCCCGGGCTGGGGCATTTGGTGTCCCGGGGACAAATGAAACCAGCCCGTTAGGCCTCAAGGGGTCCGATGTCCTGGGGGAGGAATCTGGACAGCTGGGAAGCTACAAGTAGGTAACAGGAGAGCAGTGACAAGGCAGGGTGGGGGGTGCGGAGCGGGGTGCTGAGGGCCCAGGACGGCACTTACACAGCTAAGAGTCTCACTTTCTTTTTAGCCTAACTCTAGAAACCTCCTCAAAACCAAGGGGGAAAAAATGCTTAATTTTTTCCAAATGTATTGGCCTGTTCACTAGCCAGCAATACAATTATCTAATTAAAAGCTAATACTTTAATTCCACTCCTTCCAACTGTATTGTGAAAAGACCCTGTTCTTAGCCTTTAAGGGGAAAGAAAACAGGCCCCCTCTGCCGAGTGTCCCCTCTGAGCTAGGTGACCTGCGCGTCCCCTCCCTGCAAGGCCTGGGGCAGGGCTTCCCCGCTCCCTGGCGGCTGGAAGAGGATCCTCGTTTGCCAGCACCCATGGGCAGATGCCTCCCGCTTGTTAGCTCGAGTGGAAACGTGGAGAAGGGGACGTAGACTTGCGTCTTTGTCCCGGGTTCCCGGGGTGCCCGTCTCACGCCGACTTTGATGCCATCCCGCAGAGTGTGACAAGTTTAACCAGTGTGGCACGTGTACGGAATTCAAAGAGTGCCATGCCATCCAGAACTACACCCTCTGGAAGGTTGGCGACTACGGCTCCCTCTCCGGACGGGAGAAGATGATGGCAGAAATCTACGCCAACGGCCCTATCAGGTCAGGAGCCGGAGCCCGAAGGCAGCTGGGCACGGGGCCCTGGGTCATTGTCGCCCCCTTCCTGGGGCTGGACGCGGATGGGAGCGAGGGGAAGCAGGCACAGGTGCGTGCACACACCTGCGCAAGGGACAGAAGTTGGGGCAAAATCCCTCCCGGTGTGGGACCCGAGTTGGGTCCACGGGACCGTTGGTGACGGGTAAGTTCTCCCCCCCCCCCCCGAGTGCTAACTGTTCGAGTGCTTGCGCCCAGCTGCGGCATGATGGCGACGGAGAAGATGGTCAACTACACGGGAGGCATCTATGCCGAGTACCACGACAAGGCCTACATAAACCACGTCGTGTCTGTGGCCGGCTGGGGTGTCAGCGACGGCACGGAGTACTGGATCATCCGGAATTCCTGGGGAGAACCGTGGGTAAGATGCGTGCGGCGCCTCGCCCCCGCCGGGGGGCTCCACAGCCGGGAACTGCAGCGCGGAGCGGAGGGGATCCTTGCCCCGGCCCAGGAGCAGCCCTGGTGACACCTGGGGTCAGATCCTACAGTGGGGGAGGGGAGGGCTGTCACTGTCCGGTAGCATGTTTAATGCCTACCCCTCAGATGCCAGTGGCTCCTCCCCATCCCCCCACCCCCACGTGGCCACCAACAGCGTCTCCAGACTCTGCCAACGTCTCCTGGGGGCTCCGCCCTGGTTGTGAAGCACTGTTCTGGAACTTTCAGTTCAGTGCGATTGTTCCTCTATAGCTATCCCATCCTTCCTGCTGGCACAGCTCTGGCTCCTCAGCAACACGGTGCTGTTTTTTCAAAAATGCTTTTGAGTTGGGTCAAAAATCCAACGGAGATAAATGAATGCCAGAATTCTCATTTCTAAGACCCAGTGTTAACCATTAATAGCTGAAGACAGAGAAACTCATTACCATCAAGAGGGGGAGAGTGATTAATGCCGAAGTGATGAACTGTCAGTGTTTGTATTAGACCATAAACTGGGGACATTAATAGGCAGCTAAGTCATCCGGCCCGAAGAGTCAACATTTTAGTTACATTAATGTGCTTTGGGCTCACAGGGCCATCCGTGTACCTCGCTTGTTAGATGTTAACCAAGTCAGAGTGTTTCACAGAAGGTGTCTCTGAGCAGGGGTCCCGGGATGGGCGGCGCCCCGATGGCAGGGGCGCAGGAGACGGTGATGAGCCAACACGTGGTCCCCCCACAGGGCGAGCGAGGCTGGATGCGGCTGGTGACCAGCACCTATAAGGACGGGAAGGGTGCCGACTACAACCTCGCTATCGAGGAGGCCTGCACGTTCGGGGACCCCATCGTCTAAGGCCCAGGTCTCCGGAAGAGCAGGGCTTAGGAGGCGGACTCGTGAACCGTCATCAGAGGGGATCCTGTCGCTGAGGGCGTGGGGCTGGAGGTGCCGCCGTGTGCAGGAAGTGGGGCTGACCCGCTCGGACCGATGCGGGGCCGGCAGGGAGGGTGTCCTGGGGGGCCGGAAACGGGAGGGCACCCAGCCGGGTGCGGTCTCCATTCCCAGTATGTGATCTGGTATCTTCTATTTGGCAACGGTGGCTTGTAATGTGGTAAACGGGGTCAGACTGATCACCAGTTCTTCCGTCCCCTGGGAATCCGTGGTGGGGACGGCCACCTCAGATCGCCCGAGCGATAGTGAATAAAATACACGACTCTCCACTGGAGCGGAGCCCAAGCGTGCCTTATTTACACACGAGAACACACCGCCAGGATCTACGCCTGCCAATCCAGCAGGAAGACTTTTTTAATTGGTTCTTGGAAAAGTAAAACAATGACAATCAAATATCAACCAATCAGGTTCTTGTGAGAAGAGTCACCTCGGAAGGTGGTTCATCTCCGAGTCTCCGGTCCTAAGCTCCCCAGGACCTGCGGGAGGGACCCAGTTCCTTCACCGGGGACGTGAACGTGGTCAGCAGGGTCTGGGGGCAGCATGAGCTCCTAGGAGAGGGGGCCACCTGTAGTGGCAGCTCTGCAGTCACCTCCTCCTCCCGCCGGGGCCCAGGTCCGAGATGCCCACTGGGCTCTTCAGCAATGGCTTCTGTCAGGGCTTTCCCACATCTGGTCTCGGAATGTTCTGTGTCAGCTCTGTGTCAGCCCCGGAGGTGCGCAGATCAGTTCACCAGGATGAAGTTAGACTTGCAGTGAGCTGTAACAGAAGGCAGACAGGCACCGCGTTAGAAACCGGAAGTGAATGACACTTAGAGTCGCAGCAGAGAGACACATACCTATAAATTCCGTCACGGGGTCGTGTTCTCCCTCTGTTTTGATGGTGCCTGCGATACTGTCGTTTTCCAAGATGGGGAGGAAGAGCTGCACGAAGTCAGAGGTGTAGGGAGGAGCGATCACGTCCAGCACCTAGGAGGAGACGACACCGGGTCACTCCCGCACGGCCCGCGAGCGCCGTCCCGCCACCACCTGATGAAATGGCCAACAGTGGGGAGAAAATCGCCCTCCCCTCCCTGCTCTTGTGGCTTCCTGGTGACGATGCGAGTCCCCAGCATTAAGACCCCAGGTGGCTGTGCAGGGAGACCAGACTCCGGGTCTCCTGCGGGTGGGACGTGCTTGCTAAGCTGGCGTGTGACTGTTGTCACCACCATTATCAGAAAGCACAGTTCTCAGAGTTAGGGACAAAGCAGACTAAATTAAGGCAAAGGGCACTGCTAGCGTTAAGAGCAAAACGTGAAACACGGTGTGTTGCTGACCTCAGTTACAAAATAGCGAATGAGTGAAATGTCAGTGTCCAGCTTCTCCAGACACTTTCGGATGTAACTGACAACAGGAAGTACATAACCTCGACTCAGCAGGTGAACCATCCTGTCCAACAGGGTCTTCTTCAGCTCAAGCTGCAGGGAGGGGGCAGACAAGTCCGTTAGGAGGGCCCTCCCCCAGCCCCCAGCAGCCCGGGGGCCACCCGCTCACCTGCTCCATCACGTCCAGCTGGGAGTGCTCGGTCTCAAAAAGCTTAACGAGCAGCTGCAGGACCTGGGGGTGCAGGAGCTGGTGGCACGTGCTGATCTACAAACAGGCCAAAGGGAGGGACGCCTGGGTGGCTCAGTCAGCTGGGCGTCCGACTTCAGCTCAGGTCATGATCTCATGGTTCGTGGGTTCGAGCCCCGCGTCGGGCTCTGTGCTGACAGCTCAGAGTCTGAAGCTGCTTCAGATTCTGTGTCTCCCTCTCTCTCTGACCCTCCCCTGCTCATGCTGTCTCTCTCTCTCTCTCAAAAATAAATAAAATATTAAAAAAAAAAAAAAACAGGCCAAAGGGAGCCCCGCTGAGCAGCGCAGCCGGGCCCGGGCTCACCGCCAGGCATAGGACTGCCACCGCCGCGCAGCCAGCACACAGCCGGTGCTGACGACGGTGACCCTCGGCTGTCCCCGTCCTTTCGGACCACTTGCTAAAAACAGAAATCTACGGAGCCAATGAAACAAGTTCCTTCTTTAAATTTATTTTTTGTGGGGGGGGCACCTGGGCTCAGGGCTTAAGCATCCAACTCTTGACTTCAGCTCAGGTCATGAGCTCATGGTGCCTGACTTTGAGACCCGCATCGGGCTCTCTGATGGCAGCACAGAGCCCGCTTCAGATCCTCTGTCCCCCTTAACTCTCTGTCCCTCTGCACCTTGTGCTCTTTCTCTCAAAAATAAACAAACATTAAAAAAAAGTTTTTTGGGGGTGCGGGGCAGAGAGGGAGAGAGAGGATCCCAAGCAGGCTACATGCTATCAGCACAGAGCCTGATGGGGGGCTCAATCTCACGAATGGTGAGATCATAACTTGAGCCAAAATCTAGAGTCAGACACTTAACTGCCTGAGCCACCTGGGCACCCCGAAACCAGTTCCATAAAAGGAAAATCCTCCCTGAGGACGGAAAGTCACGAGCTCTGTACAGAGTAGCCCGTGGATTCAGTGACAGACGTCCTGGCAGGATGGGGCACAGGCCAGAGTGCCGCCTCGGCCCCGCAGCCCCGTACCTCGTCCAGCAAGGCCAAGTGCACCGGGGTGTGGTCCGTCTGCAGCTGGAAGTAGCGCGGCTCCGACACAGTCCAGTCCACCCACCTGAGCACGCCCATGGCCGCCACCGGGAACCTGCAGGGAAACGGGGCACGGTGCTTCCTACGCCACCACCAAAACGAAGTGGTTGGGAAGGTTTAAAAAACCCAGCAGCACCCCATCTATCCCAGCAAGTCGCTCTCCAGCTGCTCTGCCAAGGAGATGCTGGTTAGAGGACAGACAGCCTCAGGAAGGAGGCCAGGACCCTCTCAACGTGCGCTACAGGGACCCACACTCACATATCGGCTTGTTTTCAACCACTATTGGTTTAAAAGAAGATCATTAACGCAGGAGACTCTGGGAGCCTGGCCTGGGCTGAAGTTTTATTTAGCAAACCCTCTCTGTCCCTAGCACAGCTTGCCAGCGGAAGGCCTCGAACACTGAAGAGGGCCACCCTATCTGTGAGCCTGTCTAATCAACGCGTGCATTCGTATTCTTGCTGTGATCACGTCCCTTCCACCCAAGCAATACTTTGTCGGCCTGACTTTTACAGTAAATAGACCCTTTCCTTCAAAGCAGCTTTTGTAATTCTGGTTGGTCTTCCATTTCTTTACGCTAATTGATGAACAGACTTCTGGCAGGTAAGCCCCTGAGAATTACTCACGCTGCGGAAACAACTTAAAGTTCTCTATGTACGTTTTAAAAAGAAAGTGCAATCAGTATCTCTGAAGCTTTTGTTAAGTACAGTTTACAAGCTTTTCATAAAATGAAAACTCAAACCACTTCCTCCAGAAGGATCCAGGTCAGAACTGAGGTCCAGTCTGCTCACCGAATGCACTGATAAAGCGTGCTGAGCTCTGCCACCAGCTCCGAGGCCCCTTTGTTCTCATTACAGCACAGATTGTGAACGGTCTCCACGGCTTTCGACGTTGACTTCAGCTCATCCTTGTTGATACCCACACGCTTGTTCTGAACACACACACACACACACACACACACACACACACAGGTCAGTGAATCCGGCGGCCTGGCAGCTGGGGTAACCTGCTACGGGCCACCTCCCTCTGCCACCCCCCCTTCCCTGTCCCTGGAGTCAATTCGGCTGCCACCCGTCAGAGTGGCCCAGGGTGCAGGAACGAGCCGGGCTGGGCCTGCGGCTGGGGGACCTGCCTGTGCCTCTAGTCACACTTCCCGTCCCAGCTTGAAAACGGTTACGGATGCTGCACAGTCTCGAGACAGTGAGCACTGTGATGATTTCACGCACTAGTTGGCCTCACGGCTCCTTGTAGCCCAAATTCCCAAATAACACCAAGGAGAGGAGGGGACTTGTCCCCCTAAAAGTACACCGATTCTCAGAACTGACGGTACCTTTTTCCACGTCTCAACCACGCTGGCCGCGTACGCCAAGATGTGGATGTACTTGTGCTTGTGGTCCTGGTTGATCCTGGCCCCTGGTTTAAAGAGCGACTGCATGAACAGGTCCAGGAAGGCCGGCACCCGGATCTGAGGAGACACACGTCGCTCGGTGAAAGGGAACGTACGAAAGAGAGGTCAGGTCAGTCCACACGGACTCACGGCAGGAGTGAGGTCACGCCGAGGATGTGACGGGGGACGAGGAAAAGTACAGAAACAAATTTGTATTCAGTGACTTACAACCCTTCTAATCGGCATTGAGTGTGTCCCACCTTATTAATAAAACGAAAGCAACTTACAAGTTCAACAGGAGGTGGGTCCATGCTCGTGAACATCTTGAAGAGGACCGTGATGTCGGCCGGATTCAGGGCTCCTTTGGACAACATGGCCCCAAGGGCCTGACAAGCCCTGGGGTAGGAGGCGGCTGTGCCCAGTGCGAGCGTGATCTGACTGGCATCATGGCCTCTGGGTGAGGGAAGGCACGGATCCCATGGTTAGGAAGGTGGCTCCCTGCCCTGCCCTCTCCTTCCTTCCTTCCTCTCACATCTCATTCTTGGAACTGTTTGGGTCGCTCTGTTTTTCCTATTTCTGTCATTCGCTGGTATCCTGACTGACCCACAGAAACGGCAGTTAAAGCTAACTGGGAAAGAGGGGCTGGATGCAGCTCGCAGACTTTCCAAGAGGAGCCACTCACTTTTAAGGTCTTATTAAGCTCCATCAGGAGAGAATATAGCCAGCAAGGGCTAATGTCCTTCTGTAAGACATGGACCGCAACAGAACAATCAGCCTACTGAATAACTATTTCAGGACTACGACTATTTGCTATCGAGGAGTCCTAACACATGAAAGCACAGGCTTCACCAGTCCAGTGAGCGGCAAAATAAGCAAGTGCCTTACAGAACGCTCATCAAAGCCAAGGCTCAGAAAGCAAGCTCTCTACACGTATCTAAAACGACCGTGACCTTTCCCGCCTTGCTGGACAGAAGGGAGTTCATCTGTCTGTCAAGGTAGGAGGGGCCTAGAGTCTCTGCCGGTGGACACAGAGCGCCGGGGAACTTTGCGGGGAGCACCGCGTCGGGACCGAGACGAGCACGAACACCGAGTCTCACTTCTCCTGGGCGAAGCGCTGCACCTCCTGCGCGATCCTGCGCACGGCGGAGCCCCCCTGCTCCTCCTGGGCCAGCACGGACATCATGGCCTGGGCGAACAGGTACGTGTGCTCCCCGTGGCACACCATTTTCTGAAAAGTTGCAGGGGGAGAGAGT